GCCTCTGTACTTTCACACCTAAGCACGCTGCTATTCTCAAAACTCTATGACATTTTTAAGTTGTTTTTTTTTGACTTTCCTTACAGTTTATACACCAGAATATTTAACTGTATTCCAAAATACCTACTACACAAAACTATTCCCTTTTCCTCTCTAACGTGTTCACCATTAAGTCCAGATCCATGCACTAGAGATGTCTTCTACTTAGACCTTTAAACATCACTATTTCTGTGCTTGGTTAGGCACTTTCACAGCAGGTTTCTGGTGAAGAATCTGACAAAGAAGAATCATCAGCAAGAGCTACCTAAATGGGATACGGCCCTTCACTTCGAGTGAGACAACTGTGTGCATCTAGAAGAACGCCTTTTCCTAGAGAGTGTCCCCTTCCACCACTCTCAGACATAAGCTCTATGCTGGTGTCCAGCTGTGAACATTATTCAGTATCACGTGAATGGATTCTCTCTAATTTCACACTCAGAAAACACAACCTAACTGCAGTTCCACAGTCTTTTCCATCATGGTTCATTTTCCTGATCTCACATTATTGAAGTGCAGCTGTACCTGCTACTGTATTTGAAAAGGATACCTCACAAGGCCATATGCAAGTGATGGTCTGCTTTGGTTTTAAAAGTTTTTCATAAAATGATTTTGGAAATATATGTCAATTTATCATACCTCATATGTGTGTCAAACTTCAAAATAAAATCTTGCTGCATTTATTCAAAGGATAGTGAGATAATTTTTCAGCTTGTATCAAATAAACAAATACAACATCTTCCCCACAAACTAGATGTCCAGAACGTCTCCTATTCAAGTGAAAGCATGCATCACTAAACCAGGGTGCACAATGCACACGACAGCAAATACTCTCCATTGTTAAATATTAAGCAGGTACTTTGGTACATTATTTATTTATTCACAGAAGTCTGCTACCTGCCTGCCAGACCTACCAGAGTTTATTACCGCAAAATTGTACATGGGCTGGGTGGCAGTGTCGACCTGCTGGAGGGTAGAAAGGATCTGGACAGGCTGGATCAATGGGCCAAGACCAACAGGATGAGTTTCAATAAGGCCAAGTGCCGGGTCCTGCACTTGGATCACACCAACCTCATGCAGCGCTACAGGCTGGGGGCAAAGTGGCTGGAGAGCTGCCTGGCAGAAAAGGACCTGGGGGTGTTGGTCGACTGTCGGCTGAACATGAGCCAGCAGTGTGCCCAGGTGGCCAAGAAGGCCAAAAGCATCCTGGCCTGTATCAGGAACAGTGTAGTGAGTAGGGCCCGAGAGGTGATCGTCCTCCTGTACTGGGCACTGGTGAGGCCTCACCTCGAGTACTGTGTCCAGTTTTGGGCCCCTTCCCACAAAAAAGACATTGAGGTGCTGGAGCAGGTCCAGAAAAGGGCAACGGAGCTGGTGAGGGGTCTGGAGAGTAAGTCTTATGAGGAGAGGCTGAGGGAGCTGGGGTTGTTCAGTCTGGAGAAGAGGAGACTGAGGAGAGACCTTATCGCGCTCTATAACTACCTGAAGGCGGGGTGTAGAGAAGTGGGGCTCAGTCTCTTCTCCCAAGTCACAGGAGATAGGACAAGGGCAAATGGCCTCAAGTTGCGCCAGGGGAGGTTTAGATTGGATATTAGGAAAAATTTCTTCATGGCAAGAGTTATCCAGCATTGGAATAGCCTGCCCAGGGAAGTGGTTGAGACATCATCCCTGGAGGTGTTCAAAAGACGGGTTGACATGGTCCTCAGGAATATGGTTTAGTTATTTTTTATTGCTTATTTCTTTTTTTTTTTTTTTAGAGTTAGGTTGATGGTTGGTCTAGATGATCTTTAAGGTCCCTTCCAACCTAGACGATTCTATGATTCTATTTTCTTTTTTCATATACCTACTAAACATTTCTTTTGAGGAGGAATAAGACTGAAGTTCCTGGTAGATTAAACTGTTAATAAACCTGATAAGAGGGTGTCTTAAAAATCTGTAGCTTTCTTACAGTCACAGTCATTGCATGTCTCTCCTAACGTTCCTTTCCCAAACTATACCCGGCTGTAGGCCAGCTGAACACCTCTGGATTTTTAGCTTCTCAAAATAGTCTCTGGACACTTCCAACTTGCCTTCTACCAAACATTCTGCTGTGAATACATCATCCAAATGCTCAGCACTGAAGAGCGACAGCCACTTTCTTCTGAAAAAAGGCAAAAGACGTTGTCGTATTTAATGAGACTCAACTGCAAATCATTCTTCTGACTCTGTGGCTCCATTGCTCTCATTGCTCTCTCACGGAGAGCTCCTAGCTAAATAAAAGTGACTTGCTATTTGGATCTCAAGAAGTCTTCGCCATTTCAGTATCATGATTAACAACACAAAATTATTACAAATATTTCCATGTAATTTTTACCTCTAAAAGCAAAAAAAAAAAAAAAAGATAAAAAACCATGGGGGGAAAATTTTCAAAGTAGACCTGCAAATTAACTGAAGGTAATAAAAATACTCAATTTTCATCACTTATCTGCACCTACTTGACACTTCTGGGGGGAAGAAAAGGGTGTCTGACTGATGGTAGAATACTCTACTTAGGTAATTCTTTCTTATTTCAAGGCCAGTGTTACAAATCAGACTGAATAACATCTCTGGCATATACTGGTTTCACTGAAAAGCTCCTGTCTGAGATCCTATTTCTTTCTCAAGGGAGACAGAAGAAAAATCTACATTTAGATGAATGAGCTTTAACTATATTTTTATTATAATTAATCACTCACGGTCACTTAGTCAAGACAACCTAATTTTGCCCAACTTACTGCTAAGCAATTCTAGGAATGCTTTGTTAAAGAAAGCAGGCTGTTCAGACTGTTCATGAGTTGGCATCTGAATCAAAGAATCCAGTAAAGCAACTACATACCTCATCTTCAGTGAAAAGCAAAATTCCCACCAAGTCCCAAGTTCTTTCTTCTACAACATGTATTCTCCTCAATCTGCTACAGATCTTCTAAACTATTTGCTTAATTTACTTCCTCTTTCCAACAACACAGACTGTCTGCAGATCTACAACCACCATTTATCTTTGCACTGAGCTGTACTAACTGTCTTTATACATGACTGTTTTGATTACAGCCAGTACTGAAAATCTGACAGACAATGAAAAACATCGAATGAGACATTAACTTTTGGTGCAAAAAGGGCACACCTGTGTAATTCAATACCTAATGTAGATACAGAGACCAACGGAAACACCTGGTTTTTTAACTATGTGAACATACCAGGCTGAGTCCTACCAGCATACCTCAGAAAAGTTAAATTCTGTGAGATGCAGCAAGATTTTAGAGAGTAGCTGGAGCACCTTTAGAAGGACTCAGTGCTCTCAGGATCCCCAACTTCATGGTACTGGGTGCTACAATCAGACAATCAGGAAGCAACAGGAAGTTCTGTGATCCTCCCAGAAAAAGACAGCATTTACAAACACAGACAATATGGTGAACAAAATGTACAGCAAGAGAGTAATGTGATCTGTTTGAAAATGGGGAGAGAAATCATTGCAGCTTTTGGAAATCTTTAAAGAAGTTGAAAATAATTGTTCTCCCATATTGAATAATCTGGGAAGATTGATTTAGCCCTCCACATGACTGCTAATCAACTCCATAATACACATAATTTAAAAATTATTCGTAATTTTTGGAATATAGGGTTTTTTTTAAAAAGAAATTTCAATGAAACCATGAAGAAACAAAAACCCGACCCAAACATACTCACCACTGTGTCTCCACAGTTGCCAAGGAAAAATAAAATATGGAAGCTACATGTTTCAATCAGTTTGCATGTTTTTTCAGCAACTAGAACACCATGCTCCAAAAATCCCACCCCATTTGTACAATACTAGCCTTCATCATTTTGAAGGTAGATAAAAAAAATCAGAAGCCTGTCAGAGCTCTACACGGCATGTGATCTTTTTTTCTGAATTCCCTTTGCAGAGGCTGAAGTGTTTTGGAAAGTTCTGATGCTTTCTTAGAAGGTTACAGTAATTCAGTGTAAAACATCAGACAACAGACAAAATGCTCTATCTTTCAGTGTTCTTCCAAAAAAACAAAGGTCACAAAAAACATTCCACAGCAATAAAGAGGATGGAGCAGATGTTTGCAGTGCAGTTATCCTTGAGTAATAGCATGGGTCCATACGATAGGCTATTTTTGGCCAGTAAATTTTGCTTACCAGCTCTTTTCACATCAGGCATAAATTTAATGCAGTTAACAGTTGTTTATGAGTTCATTAGAAATGCAGAAAACCCATAAAATTTCAAGTAAAGATTACCATACAGGCAGCTGGAACCATGGACTGTGAACTGATTCTGATCCAACTTAAGCCTCATGCCAAAAGTACAGAATTTTAGAAATGCTGATGCTGTAAATCTGAACAATGGCCTTCAACACTTAGGTTGCTGGAGAGTGATTAAACTTTACAATGATAATGTAACATACTGAGGTTCATAACACATTTATAGAGTCTGCACAATCACAAACAACCTGCAACTATTCTGGAACATGAATCTGATCTATGATAATACCATAAAGATTATTAACAGATTTGTGATGGAACTGTTAGGATTGTTATGTGAGAGAAAACGAAACTTAGAAACCTAGAATTAACAGAAACACACAAGGACAGATAATAGAACACAAAGTGTTCAGTAGCCATTCTAAAATATCCCTTGGCCATAAAAATGTAATAGCATTTGTTTCAGCAAAAAACAAGTAAAGAGCTTCACGTGACAAATTGTTGTATTGTATAACTGGAATCAGCAGTGCTTCATAAAGAATGAAGCGAGCACTGATAATGCACATGCTTACATCTTACATGTCCTCTAGAGAATACACTTAAAATAGAAAAAGCACTACATACACTACTGAAGGATGAGTCACAGAACAAGAAAAACATGCACCCTCCTTCACTGCCATGTATGTCATAATTAAAGGAAAGAGACATGCATATCCCAAGAGCTGAAAGCTTTGTATACTCACATCTCCATCTAGTGGCCTCTGGTCGTCAGAGTCCCTGGTTGGACTGATGTCCTGCCTCATCACCCAGATAGGCTCCTTAGGTTCATCAGGGGTATAAGGAGAACGGATGGTCCTTGTCTTCACTTCCTCAATAGCCTCTTTAATATCCTTGATGGCCAGTGAAATTGCATCTCTCTTTTCCTTGCTGTACCTCTGTACGGATTCTCCTGAGCTGGATATAACTCGAGAACCAGCTGGGAGCTGGCCGTTACCTTCATGCCCGCTACCAGCAAGAGGATGGCCATGCTCCAAACTCTGCTCCGCCTCTGGCATGTCTTCAGCTGCCTTGTCTAAGCTCTGGGAGCTCATGCTCTGCTTCACCTCTGCTACGATCTGATCAATGTCCTCCTCTTGTTCATAACTATCCATTCTTGGGTAGGGTGCAAACTCTGCCTCCTTCTCAGGGCTGTCAGACTCTCCATCAGACCGTTCATCATAATGGTGAAGGCGAGCACCAAGTGCCTCCTTGCGGTAATTGTCAGCTTCCTCCCTTTCCCGCTCATACTGTTGGATCCCCTCCCTAACATCAAGGTCTGGTGTATCCCCTATCTCCTCATACACATGCTCCTGCAGTCCATAGTCAGCATAAGGCTCAGCATACTGTTCATCCTCTCCTCGGTGGAAGAGACGATGTGTGTAGACATAACCCGAGTAGGCTGCATTCATGGCTTCCTCATGTTCGATGGAATGGAAATGTAAGTGATTGGGCAATGTTCGATTACGAATGGCCTCGCCATGCTCAGCCTCAGCATTCTCTGTGTACTCCTCAGACTCAGGCCTGTACTGCACCGCATATGCACTCTCATCCTCGTTTTCCTGAACCCTCTCTGTGTCGTAGCTGTCCTCCACTGTGGCTATCACATCCCCTTCTGCAGTATCCGTGTGATTGTGGAAACCACTCTCCGTGCTGGCTGACCGAGCTAACATCCCTTCCTCCTCCTGCCCAGACAGGCCCCCTTGGCTGTTGTTTGTGTGCCTTGGGTAACGAGTTGCATACCGCTGCTCCTCTTCCACCTCTGGGTGCTCCAGGTCAGCCTCCACTGACTCGTTCAGTGCTCCAGCTGCTGGCTCTTCACTTACCTCCCCCTCAGGCGGTCCAACCAAATGGTTCATGGCAAGTTCTGGTGGGTAGGTCACTTATTCTATTGACATTTTGTCTATCACAGCTGGAAAGAAATAAAAAAACCTTCTGACATTACTCTTAAAAAAAACAGTGGAGTCAATAAACAGAAGCAACAAAAGGCACCCTTCCTTCCCCAGCAGACACACATTTGACTTCAACAGCTCCCAAGTTAGACAATGCTCCCAAGTCAGACAACAGCCAGCACATCAGTATGACCTTCCATGCAAACGATCTCCAATAGCAGCAACCAACAACCCCCTTGAGGACCACACTTCCCAATTCTATGGACAAATTCTTTGTGGAAGAATAATTCCAAACAACTCCTTGGAGATGCTTCTAGGGACTGCTGTGACATTTCGATGACATTGGCAGGCACATGTTAGAAAAGCTAACTCTTGCCTGGGGCTCAACCATGGCAGAGATATAACAGGAACATTCCACCTCTGCTCCACCACTCTCCCTACAGCTAACACAGCGCAAAGGAAGGATGCTGCAATGTAAAATGACAGATTGAGTCCCGTCACAAGAGTTTGCAATGGCTCAGATACATGACAGCTATGCATACTACACTACTTCAGTACGAGCTAGTCACCCTATGCACTTTAAAAAAATCATTAGGAATAAAAATGCACTTAGGGAATCTCAAGCACCTGCTCCTTCTCCCTAGAGAAGGACATGACGGCTAGATACAACATATTTACCTTTGTGGAATGTATCTATAATCACTTGATAGCTTCTGAACCAAACATCTTTCCTAAAACATGGAGAAGACCTTACTAGTATTCATAATCACGATCACATTGAGACTCATGAAGCATCTTAGCCTTGCTGACATTGAGTAACAATCTCAAAAGATGATATAATTACTAGAGAGGTTTGCCAGTAATTATAAATATGCACGCCATAGAAACAGGAAATCCACCTAAGAATACAGATTAGCTTCTACAACTTTCATAGAGCAAGCAGGCCTATCTAGCTCAGAAAGCTTCATTTTTATGTAACAGCTTCAGTTATTTTGAACCTTGCCCTATTTTTAAAATGTAGTGACATAAAAAGGACATTTTATGTCCTTTTTGGTCCTTAAGTCAAACCACATATCAATAAATAAAATACAGCTCTAGCCTGTAACTTACCAACAAATACTAAAATATAAAATCATAAAATAAATAAATAATAAACTTTTATATATAAATTACAAAAAAATAAAGAAAAAATTACTACAATCTAAAAATTAGAAAATAAAAATTAAAAGATATTAAAAGAAAAGGTACTTTTAACTTGAAGGATCTATAAAAGCATGTGTCAATTACCAATCAAAAAATTAACATGAATGTAAAACAGAACTTGAACTAAATGTACTGAATTCAGGCAGGGAGGCTCAGGTGATACTTTGCTGAGTAAATGAGCTCTGTGCAAAAGAGCTTTGGGAATAACCTCCTGTGAAGCGAAAGCAATAGTAATTTCAGTTGCCCTCCATTAGAAAATTTGACAGGCTGGCAAGGCTGGGTATGGGAAATCTAGTGGGTGCAGCCTGCAGCAGAGCAAACACTCCTCCTTGTAGAGTCTTTAAAAAAAAAAAAAAAGAAACAAAATACCTTGTTCCAGACAGATCTTTTAATTTTCAGGAACAGCCTACACATAACTTTAGCATACCTAGCATGCCGTGTTTAACCTCTAAGGTTTGCCTTCCCAATCCTCATCACATGGGAGAAAAATGTATTGTATATCATATAGTACCTAAAAATGTGATTGTAGAATAATAGCTAATAAATCACATTACTTGAACAGAGTAAGATGGTCCATACAAACTAATCCTTTTTAGAAATAACTACAAAAAACCTCTGTTTTTTTCTAGATAAAGAAGATATGTTAGTAAGAAGCCTTAAGTGACATAGTAAGGTCTTTTCCAGCGAAGACTTTCAAGAAATCAGGAAATAATCAGCAAAATCCAGGGGGGTATGTACTAACAAAGCAAATGTTCTCCTCCCCACAGCATACAACATACTTTGCTCATAGACAGAATTAGGCTAAAATGGAGTACTGTTCAAAAATCTGCCTTAAATCTGGTGCATTCAAAGTAGTCCCTGACTCGCACCTATGCATCATAGGTCACCCACAGAAAAAGGGCAGTACTAGTTGAAAGAAATGAAGTTACAGGTAAACACAGGATGATGAACTGTTGTGGTTTAACCTCAGCCAACAACCAGGACCATGCAGCTGTTCACTCACTGCACCCCACCCTCCCCCACCTACTGGGATAGGGGCGGAGAACTGGAAAAAAAGAAAACCTTGTGGGTTGAGATAAAGAGTTTATTAGAACAGCAAATGAAGAGAAGATAAGAATATCAATAACAATAAATGAATATATAAAATGAGTGATGCAACGCAATTGCTCACCACCCTAAGATCGAATGCCCAGCCCTTCCTGAGCAGCAATTGCAGATTCCTGTCCCCCAGCCAACTCCCATTTATATACTGACCACGATGTCTATGGTATGGAATATTCCTTTGGCCAGCTTGTCCTGTCTATGGTCCCTTTCAGCTCCTCTGAGAAGCTAAAAAAATCCTTGACTTAAGCATTACTTATCAACAACTAAAGCAATATATGTTATCAACATTATTCTTATACTAAAACCCAAACACATCAGGTACTCGGAAGAAAATTAACTCTATCCCAGCTGAAACTAGGACACCAACTTTCCGAGATGTCTATCACATGTACCCTGCTACAACTTTAACTGAATTTTGTAAGTTAGAAAAGAAGGCAAAATTCAACTGCATGAAGACTACTTTTACCTCTGGTCAAATAAGGTATCAAATGTCACAATATTTATGGCAACTGAAGTTCTAATAATATTTGAAAACATGTGATCCTGTTTTAGAAGTCTTAATACAGGCTCACAACATAATAGCACACTACAGACTAACAGCATTGCTGACATTTCTAGCTACAAGAAACGAATTACAGAGACTACAAACCATACACAATATTGCTAAAAGCACCTGAGAGCCTCAACATTTTCCTTTTGCAAATTGAAAATTTCCAAAGTTCCACTTGTGAAATTGCCCTCATTTGAAGAATGATCTCATGTTAATTTCAAATATTGATATCCTGAAATTTTCAAGGTTGTGTCTTTTGAGAGGATGAGGAAGAAACTTTAAGCTTTACTTAAAGTTTTTTTTCTGAAAAAGGTCCTCCTCTGTTTCTCCTTCCTCCAGTAATTTCAATTTAAATTCACTTTTTGATTTTGCAAACAATAAAATATTATTTGCAAATGTATTTTGAAATTTAAAAAAGAGACATTTTAATTGTCAGAAAAGAAGATAAGTACACTTATAAAATTGTAGAGCTGAATAAATGCCTTTAGGTCACCTAAGCCCCAATAATCTTCAATGAAAAGTAAGTTTCTAAGTGTATTTATTTGACTGTTTAACAATCAGTCTTTAGGACAGTAATTTAAAGAACCACCTATGAAGGCTGGGCGTTAGAAGCACTAAATCCCTTTTCATACATGGTAGCTGGAAGACTACTAAAACCTATGGTTTTTTTATTCTTAGTAGTATTTCCCTCAAGCAGATACAAGCTCTGCCTGATTTTTCTCACCAGATTTTCAAAAAGCACTTTATTTCCAGCAAGCAAACAAAAATCTATACCTACATAAAATGCCAGACAGAAGAGAATATAAGCCAGAGAGGTCATCTGACCTTGGAAATAAAGACACAACACCCATCTGAAAGATATTATACTCTCACATTAATTACCCAGAACAGCAGCTGTGCTCCAGTAATCAAACATATACGGGAAAGTGCTCTGTAAGCACTCTTAGCTTTGCACTCAGGACTTGATGGATGAATCTGTCTCCAGAATAGAGAAATCAGAGGCTGATTACTACTGCAACTAGCTCTTTGCTGAAGGTTAAAGTACCTTCCAGCCTGTAAAGAAGAAAAATTAAACAACTCCACATATTTCTCAAACAACATAAAGAAAAAACTCGAAGTCTAAGGATTTTTCTCTGCTATTTTATATTAAAAAAAAATATTTAAAACACCACCAAAGAGCACAGGGTCCAGCCCCACCATCTCCGTGGCCTCCCCTCACCTCCCACCAGTTTGTCAGTGTCATTCCTGGGTTGGGGACCCAAACTGGAGGCAGTACCAAGGTGGGGTCTGACAGGCACTGAGCAGAGAGGACAGTCCCTGCCTTCTCCTGACTCTCAGGGCTATGTCCTGCTCATATCACTGCAGCTATTGCTGCCCCTTTTCTTGCTGCCCTGGCTATGCCCCAGAGCTGCTCCTTGGCCACACCAGCCCCAGCCTGTATCATTGTATATCATTGTACTTACACACGTATGTTTTTTTAATGAATCTTTTAATTTATAAGCAACATAACTGTTTCCTTTTACTTTGCAGAATGTTTGCAAGCAAAAAGTTAATATGCCATTTCAGCACATAAGCAGAAATAGTTTTGTCTTCCCTAAAAATCTTTGGACATATTTACCCACATCTTCCATAAAATATAGCTATTCTTTTAATATATTTACCCAGAAATTCAAGTCAAACTAGAAGCAGAGACACCTCTGATTAGACAATTCTATGATTCTATGAATTTGCAAAGGCATCCCATCCCGAGTGCAAGTTGTCTCGGCACATTCTCTGAGGAATTGCACAAAGCATCTGTTTTTCCAGCCTCCATCAATATACCAATATTTCACTTGTAAAGGTACAGTTGTCTCAACAAGACACATGAACACAAGCTACCTTTCCAAAAACCAACATAGTCTTTTAGCAAACATATGTCTTTGAGACACATCTTCAAAATCTTTTCTTATTTTTTAAAAGAGCCCTTATGGTGTAAAATGGCTAAGAATTTAATAGCGTATGCAATATCCTGCTAGAGAAAATGCCCTACCTCTCCTGTTAGATGTATTAGATGTGTTAGATGACTCTCTCTTTTCTGAACTATTACCTACTTGGGAAGCCTGGTTGCTTCTGCTGCCATATGCTAAGAAATCTCATCCAAAACAGCTTTAAACAAAAAAAGCT